AAATGGAAAAACGTTCCATGCTCATGGATAGGAAGAATCACTATCATGAAAATGGCCATACTGCCCAAAGCAGTTTATAGATTCAGTGCTATTCTCATTAAACTACCATTGGGGTTCTTCACAGAACTAGAAAAAAACTACTTAAAAATTCATATAGAACTAAAAAAAGAACCCAAATAGCCAAGGCAGTTGTAAGCAAAAGAACAAAACTGGAGGTGTCACACTTCCCTACTTCAAACTATATTACAGGGCTACAGTAACCAAAACAGCATGGTATGGTACAATAACAGACACATAAATCAGTGGAAAAGAATAGAGAACCCAGAAATAAGACTACACACCTACAACTGTCTGATCTTCAACAAACCTGGCAAAAACAAGCAATGGGGAAAGGATTCCCTTTTTAAGAAATGGTGCTGGGATACCTGGCTAGCCATATGCAGAAAATTGAAACTGGACATCTTCTTTATTACCATATACAAAAATCAACTCAAGATGGATTAAAATGTAAAACTCAAAACTGTAAAGAAGAAAACTTACACAATACCATTCAGGACATAGGCACGGGCGAAGATTTCATGATGAAGATGCCAAAAGCAATTGCAACAAATGGAAAAATTGACAAATGGGATCTAATTAAACTACAGAACTCTGCACACACAAAACTGTCATCAACAGAATAAACAGACAACTTACAAAATGGAAGAAAATGTTTGCAATCTATGTATCAAAGTCTTCTGTCCAGCATCTATAGGGAACTTAAACAAATCTACAAGAAAGAAACCCCATGAAAAAGCAGACAAAGGACACGGACAGTACTCAAAGGAAGACATACATGTGGCCAACAATCATAAGGAAGAAAAGCTCAACATAACTGATTATTAAAGAAATGCACATCAGAACCCCAATGTGATACCATCTAATACCAATCAGAGTGGCCATTATTAAAAAGTTGACAAATAATAGATGTTGGCGAGGTTGTGGAGAAAAAGGTACACTTTTTTTTTTTTTTGAGACAGAATCTAGCTCTGTCACCCAGGCTGGAGTGCAGTGGCACAATCTTAGCTCACTGAAACCTCCACCTCCTGGATTCAAGCGATTCTCCTGCCTCAACCTTCCCAGTAGTTGGTATTACTGGTGCCTGCCACCATGCCCAGCTAATTTCTGTGTTTTTAGTAGAGATCGGGTTTCACTCTGTTGGCCAGGCTGGTCTTGAACTCCTGACCTCAAGTGATCTGCCCACCTTGGCCTACCAAAGTGCTGGGATTACAAGTGTGAGCCACCACGCCTGGGCTAAAAAAGGTACACTTTTACACTGTTGGGAGTGTAAATGAGTTCAATCATTGTGGAAGACAGTGTGGCAATTCCTGAGAGACCTAGAGACAGAAATACCATTTGATTCAGCAATCCCATTACTGGCTATATACCCAAAGGAATATAAATTGTTCTCTTAAAAAGAGAACATGTGTTCATTGCGGCACTATTCACAATAGCAAAAACATGTGATCAACCTAAATGCCTATCAACGATAGACTGGGTAAAGAAAATGTGGCACATAGACACTATGAAACATTATCCAGCCATAAAAAGAACTGAGATCATGTCCTTTGCAGGGACATGGATGGAGCTAGAGGCCATTATCCTTAGCAAACTAATGCAGAAACGGAAAAGCAAATACCTCAGGTTCTCACTTATAAACAAACAGGAGCTAAATGATGAGAACACATGGATACGTAGAGGGGAACAGCACACACCAGGGCCTACTGGAGGACAGAAGGTGGAAGAAGAGAGAGGATCAGGAAAAATAAGTAATTGGATACTAGGCTTAGTATTTGGGTGATGAAATAATCTGTACAACAAACCCCCATGACACACATTTACCTATGTAGCAAACCTGCACATCTTGCACATGTACCCTGAACTTAAAAAAAAATCATGATACAGTTAATTGACCCTTTATGTAAGCACAGTGAATGAATTCTCATTAGAAGACATTTAATCACTAAGGATTTTTTTATTATTATTTATTTATTTTTTGAGACAGAGTCTCACTCTGTCATCCAGGCTAGAGTGCAGTGGCTTGATTTCTGCTCACTGCAACCTCCACCTCCCAGATTGAAGCAATTCTCTTGCCTCAGCCTCCCGAATGGCTGGGATTACAGGCACGTGCCACCACCACCTCCAGCTAATTTTTGTTCTTTTTGGTATAGACGAGGTTTCACCTTGTTGGCCAGACTGGTCTCGAACTCCTGACCTCAAGTGATCTACCCACCTTGGCGTCCCAAAGTGCGAGGATTACAGGTGTGAGCCACTACGCCTGGCCTGAGGATTTAATACTTGCATTCATTTGCAGGCCCTCTTCAAAAGACATAACAGTGATGTTGATTGGCTTAAAATGAGGTTAAAAACCCCAAAAGGGGCCAGGTACTAAGGATGAGTGATAATTTATTTAACAAACTAAGAATGTGTGTGAGGTGCAGATGTGGCCAGAAACAAAAGGGAATTAGGTTCATTAAAAGCATATATAAGGAACCATTTTACAGCTGGTCGAGGTGGCTCAAGCCTGTAATCCCAGCATTTTGGGAGGCCATGGTGGGCAGATTACCTGAGGTCAGGAGTTTGAAACTAGCCTGGCCAACATGGTGAAACGTTATCTCTACTAAAAATACAAAATTAGCAGGGCATGGTGGCGCATGCCTGTAATCTCAGCTACTTGGGAGGCTGAGGCAGGAGAATCTCTTGAACCTCTGAGGCAGAGGTTTCTGTGAGCTGAGATTGTGCCATTACACTCCAGCCTGGGCGACAAGAGTGAAACTCTGTCTCAAAAAGAAAAAAGAAACCATTTTACGTGATAATTGTCTTGAATGTTTCAAAAATGGCAATGTCATGAAAAGATAAGAAAGGACCATTTTAGATTAAAGGAGTCTGAACAACATCATGACATGTAAAGTCAGGTTCTCAACTGGACTCAGCAACAACAAAAAGCTGTATTAGACATTTAGAGACGGCTGTGAAAATTTGAATATGTACTATAAATCAAATATTTTTATTGACATATCAATAATAAATTTCTTGGACATTTAGAAAGAAGAAACTAACAATTGAATCTAAATCAAAGTTAAGATGGATAATTGTATATTGTATGACTCTTAATTTTTCTGTAGGCTTGAAATTTTGTTAGATAAAAAGTTAATGTTGGGGAGGTATTAAATAAAGGAGCAGGGAGGAAAAAGCAACAGTGGTGAGACACCTAGATGAGCCTCGTCCCTTCTACATCTGGTCATCACCCTTCCTACCTACATCCTCCTCCTTGGAAGAGCTAATTTGCTTCAAAGGTTGAACCAAAAGATTTTGAATTCCAGGGCACCAGACTGATTTGCACTAGCTGAGAGCAGAGAGGTACACTGCTTTATTGATATTTCAGCAACTCTGGCTGACCAGCTTTCACTCTTCAGACCAAAGATACTGACTTGGCTGGATTACTCTATAGTAAATACCAGTTAACAAGCACAAATTAAGAAGCATACCACAAGAATTTACTAAAAGGATTTTAATGCTTAACCTAACCACATCACTTAATTTTAACTTTCATATGAAGGAAGACCTTTTTCATTGAAGATTATAGAAATATTAACCTACCCAGGCCAGGTGCGGTGGCTCAAGCCTGTAATCCCAGCACTTTGGGAGGCCGAGGCGGGCGGATCACGAGTTCAAGAGATCGAGACCATCCTGGTCAACATGGTGAAACCCCGTGTCTACTAAAAATACAAAAAAAAAAAATTAGCTGGACATGGTGGCACATGCCTGTAATTCCAGCTACTCAGGAGGCTGAGGCAGGAGAATTGCCTGAACCCAGGTGGCGGAGGTTGCGGTGAGCCGAGATCTCACCATTGCACTCCAGCCTGGGTAACAAGAGCGAAACTCCGTCTCAAAAAAAAAAGAAAAGAAAAAAAGAAATATTAACCTACCCAGACGCAGTAACCTCAGTTCACTCATTAAAGCTTTTGAATTATGACATTGAATTTTTGTTTCATAGTATACCATTTTTAATTTTTTAAATAAGTGATTATAAAATAAGTAAATATGTAGAAAAATACATTTGACTCTGGGCCTTTGAGTGATGTTTAATACAATGTTAAATTAAATGTGTTAACTTTGTGAAGATGCATTGTTTTTTATAATTTTTCATTTATAAAAACAGTTCTCTGGTAAAAACAGGAAAACCAAGACAAGTTCTAAAAGAGCTATAATGCTCTTTTTTAATATGACTTCTAATATTGCCCATATCAGACTGCAATTTACTGAGTTGTATATTATGTTAAACAGATAGAAACTTAAAATATGAAAACTGTCTTGTTCATAGAGCTTTCTACTGATTCTTTTGTAAGTAAAAGATTGATCTTAACATTCTGGTAACACTAATCAGATTTTGGAGTAAGCCTTTCTTTGCTGTTTGAACAGGAAGCCATGCAGTGTGTGGAAGAGCTGAATGCCCAGGGCCTGCTACATGTTTTTGTGAGAGTGGGAGTGGAGTCCACCCTGGAAAGGAGCCAGATCACCAGGGATCACATGGGCCAACTACTTTATCAGCTGGTACAGTCAGAAAAACTCAGCAAACAGGACTTTTTCAAAGGGTTGGTATCTTCTTCAAGAGTGGTATTCAGTTACTAGGCTCTTCAATACCAGTTAATTTTTGAAGTACTTACCTCTTCAAGTATTTAGTTTTTTCCATAGATAAAAATTGTATCCACTGTAATATCTCAATATGATGCAATTAATATATTGGTTGATGTGATTGATGACATTTTATAGGTTGTGCTGGGGCATAAAGTTTATCTTTTGGTTTCCAGTATATTATTGTTTGATCTCTATCATGATGTGAGTAAGGTAGCAGAGACCCTTTAGCCTCAGGGAAACTCTGAGGCGTTTAGTAGCCCATTTACATGTGATCCCCAAATGAATTTTGAGGAAAAAAGCTTTTCTTTATGAGAACAATCCTAATACTTACCTGGCAGGGAGGTACCATGATCATGAAGGTGGTTTTCCCAATGCGAGGCTTATCCATAGCACTCTGGATGCACTGACCCCTGCGATTTCCCCAAATGCAGGAAACTCAACTGCATGATTTGTGGTAGTGGGGGACTGTGTTCGCTGCTTTCCCCGGCTCTTTTAAAAAAAAAATCCTAAAAAATCGTCTTAAATTTAAAAACCTTATTCTTTTAATAAACAATGGTTATTTTGACCAGGAAGGACTTGTCTGCCCACTCTAGCATTGTGGAGAAGGATATGTAACTAGATGTTCTTAATGAAGTAGTCTATTTCAGGTTGGTTTCATTATGATTCTTGTCAATGGATGATTTGATGAGGTCTGCCTATCATTGGTGGTGAATCCTCATTTGATCAGGTTCTTGTATGTTTGTGATATACCATCGTCACAGGTGCATGGATCAGATTCCTTGTGGTTCAGCCACAAAGTCTTACCCAGGCATAGGCTGTGTAATCAGTGTTTAAAGTGAAAATTGCATTGGTAAAAAGTGTTGTTTTAGGAGGCATGTTGTATCAAATATAAACACGGAATCACACCCAGGACTAACAGATGCCCACTCTCTAAGAGAATAGCAAATAGGATCTCCTGAGTTCTGGACGTTCGATTTACATCTGCCATCTCATCTTCAACTGGACATATGCTTATTGAATCAAGTGGCAGTAAGAATTCTGTACTACTTTTAATTTTCCTCTTTGATTTTTTTGGTCAAGCTCATAATCTCATAATTAAATATACATATGATGAAATGTCACTGTATATTTTTCTTTAATCTTTTCACATATGGCCATTCTTTTAGAATAGGGTAACCATTATGTGTCATTGTTGGCCAGGTGCAGTGGCTCACACCTGTAATCCCAGCACTTAGGGAGGCTGAGGTGGGGAGATCACAGGGTCAGGAGATTGAGACCATCCTGGCTAACATGGTGAAACTCCATCTCTACTAAAAATACAAAAAATGGGCCAGGCGAGGTAGCACACACCTATAATACTAGCTACCTGGGAGTTCAAGGCAGGAGAATTGCTTGAACCCAGGAGGCAGAGGTTGCAGTGAGCCAAGATTGCGCCACTGCACTCCAGCCTAGGCAACAGAGCAAGATTCCATCTCAAAGAAAAAAAGTTTTCTTACAGGCTGGGCACCATGGCTCACACCTGTAACCCTAGCACTTTGGAAGGCTGAGGTGGGAAGATTGCTTGAGCCCGGGAGTTTGAGACCAGCGTGGGCAACATGGTGAAACTCCATATATACTAAAAATATATAAATGAGCTGGGCATGGTGGTGTGCACCTGTAGTGCCAGCTAGTTGGGAGGCTGAGGTAAAATAATTGATTGAGTCTGGAGGTAAAGGCTGTAGTGAGCCATGATCATGCCACTATACTCTAGTGTAGGTGACAGAATGAGATCCTGTCTGGAAAAAAAAAAAAAGAGTTTTATTTCAGCAATAAGCTAGCTTGCTCTGAATTTAGTAAATTACTAGATTAAGGCCATCTGAACCAGTTAACTTGGTAAGAAATTTTGGCAAAAGTTGCTGTGGTTATTGGCTTTTAAGGCCAGGATGGTTTCCCAGTTTTAAAAGAGAAACCTGCAGTTCACTCCAGTAACTAGCCAGTGCAAACAGTAAGAGCAAATGAAGGCATGTACACTCTCACAATCATATATTGAATGTGGTCCTCCCAGCAGACTTGAAATTATAGTTTCCAGAAATTACTGTTGGAGTGATGAAAATATCCATTTATAAATAGTTACTTATTACCCAGGTAGTATGATATATTCCTCAGAAAATTCTAGAAATGATATTGGTAAGTTATCATTTACCATTTTCTGTCTCTTCAAACTACACTCAGAAGTTGATTTCTATCTATAAAGATCCCAGGAAGTGTAGTCTACCTTTATCGGCTATAACTAAACTTGTGAAATACTAGCTTAGTTTCTAGCCTATCTCAGACATTTGCATTTCTCCCTTTGTGGGATTGAAGAAAAAGTATTATATCCAGACATGGTGGCTACATTTTTGTTGTTGGTAGTAAAATTGCTGTTGTCAGCAATAACCACCACACTACTACCTTTTGTTTTGACGTAAAATAAGCTTAACACTTCTGTGTCTCAGCAGTTACTTCATGTTTCACCATATCTGCTGCTTTCTGCAGCTGGAGGCAGTCTCCAGGCCTAGCCTTTCATACTTAGTTAGACCTTAGACCAAGACATGTAAAAGTTGTACTATTTTATTCTAAATGGAGAGGCCTGACAATTTAGTGCCCACCTTTTCCTAAGAGGGAAATGCGCGGATAGCTTCATGTCAGTGTCCACCAAGAGCCTTCCTGCAAGTAGATTAGAATTTCACAATCCCTTCTAAAACCTGAGTTATAAATGGCTCATACTGTCAAGACAGGCCATTTAATTGGACCCATGAAGATACCCTGTCTTTTGTTTCTTTATTCTTTACCTACAAAGATAGCATTGTCCTTTCGTAGTGTTGTGGAAGAGCCTCTGAGGTCAGCTTCTTTGGATGCTGCTACTGCTTAGATGTCAACTTCTGAAACCGCGCCAAGCCAATGATAACTCTGGGAAGGTTAGAAAGCAGAAAGCTTCCCTGTATACTGGTCCCTGGTGAGATAGCTACTAATCTGCCATTTCTCCCTATAGTTCTCTTCAGAGTATGCACTGCTGCAAGGTAGTGAAATAGACAAAAGTTTCAAATAGGCTTTATGAATATAGTTTTTGGCTCCTTTGGAATTTTCCTTACAGGATGTTATATAATTGCTCTATGTAAAATACACCTCCACAAAGATAACATCAAGCCATGCTCCTGATGTTTGCAGGACTAAATACTAAATGTAAATCTAAATCTTTATGATACAAATTAGGTCAGTAGGTAGAAGGACTAAATACTAAATGTAAATCTAAATCTTTATGATACAAATTAGGTCAGTAGGTAGATAGGTAGAAGCATTATTATATAGGTACATGCACTTCAAATAGTGTGTTGATACGGTCTTTTTAAATCATGATTTCAGAAACCTTTTTTTTTTTTTGAGACGGAGTTTCGCTCTTGTTACCCAGGCCGGAGTGCAATGGCGCGATCTCGACTCACCGCAACCTCCGCCTCCTGGGTTCAGGCAATTCTCCTGCCTCAGCCTGCTGAGTAGCAGGGATTACAGGCATGCACCACCATGCCCAGTTAATTTTTTTGTATTTTTAGTAGAGACGGGTTTCACCATGTTGGCCAGGATGGTCTTGATCTCTTGACCTCGTGATCCACCCGCCTCGGCCTCCCAAAGTGCTGGGATTACAGGCGTGAGCCACCGTGCCCAGCCCAAAACTTTTTTTTTTTTTTTGAGACTGAGTCTCGCTCTGTCACCCAGGCTGGAATGCAATGGTATGATCTTGGCTCACTGCAACCTCCGCCTCCTGGGTTTAACCAATTCTCCTGCTTCAGCCTCCAGAGTAACTGGGATTACAGGCGCATGCCACTACACTCAGTTAATTTTTTGTATTTTTAGTAGAGATGGGGTTTCACCACGTTGACGAGGCTGGTCTCGAACTCCTGACCTCAGGCAATCCGCCTTCCTTGGCCTCCCAAAGTGCTGGGATTACAGGTGTGAGCTACCACACCCAGCCCCAGAAAGTTTCTTTTAAAAAACTGTCTAGTAAATATAGTTGAGTGCAATTTGCTATTCATCGCAGAATTGGAATGACTTTGAAAGTGTAATAAGGAAATGAATACCAAGATAGTAAAAATTAGAGTGGACAATAGACACAAAATATGTACCCTACAGGGAGATTGATACATTAGTATTTCACTTTGGGAGCAGTTTGTTGGAGAAGAAATTCTTATCTCTGCCTTGACTACTTTTCTGGAACTTTTATTACTGCGTACAGCAGTTCTACATTAGTAAAAGACCCTACATAAGCTGGACACAGTGACTCACACTTGTAATCTCAGCTACTAGGGAAGCTAAGGTGGGATGATGGCTTGAGGCCAGGAGGTCAAGGCGTGGCCAACACAGCAAGACCCCATCTCTTAAAAAAATTAGTAATGCCGGATCTCTCAGCAGAAACCCTACAAGCCAGAAGAGAGTGGGGGCTGATATTCAACATCCTTAAAAGAAAACCTAGAATTTCATATCCAGCCAAACTAAGCTTCATAAGCAAAGGAGAAATAAAATCCTTTACGTACAATCAATTGCCGAGAGATTTCATCACCACCAGGCCTGCCTTACAAGAGCTCCTGAAAGAAGCACTAAACATGGAAAGGAACAACCAGTACCAGCCACTCCAAAAATGTACCAAATGGTGAAGACCATCGACACAATGAAGAAACTGCATCAACTAACAGGCAAAACAACCAGCTAGAATCAAAATGGCAGGATCAAACTCACACATAACAATATTAACTTTAGAGGAGAGAGATCCAAGATGGCTGATCACTAGCAGCTCGGGATTGTAGCTCCCAGTGAAAACGCAAAGAACGAGAGGACACCACACCTTCACATGAATTCTTGTTGCTCACGCACCAGGAGATTCCCAGCGGAGGAGCCCCACGGGTCGCCAGCGCGACTCTTGTGACCGGCAAGGCGGTTTTGCCAGCGCCTCAGAGCGTCGGTTCTCGGTGCAGAGTCAGAAAAGCACCACCAATCTTAACGCTGCTGATTTAGTCGGTGCAGTGGGTTGCTCAGGTTTCGGTGCTGAGAATCAGTAAGTTGGACGTCCAGTCAGAAACCCAATTACAAAGACGGTAATTATAAAGACCACAGATGGATAAATCTACAACGAAGGGAAGAAAACAGTCAAAAAAGGCTGAGAATACCCAAGATCAGAACGCCTCTTCCTCAGCAGGGGATCCCAGTTCCTCATCAGCAGCGAAACAAGGCTTGATGGAGAAAGAGTGTGTTCCAATTACAGAAGCAGGCTTCAAAACGTGGATAATAAGAAACTTCTGTGAATTAAAAGAACTTGTTCTAACACAATCTAAAGAAACTAAGAACTTTGAAAAAAGGTTTGACGAAATGTCAACAAGAATACAAAATTTAGAGAGGAAAATAAGTGAATTGATGGAGCTGAAAAACACAATACGAGAACTATGTGAAGTATGCACAAGTTTTAACAGCCGAATTGATCAA